TTTACATTCTTTTCAGTAGTATACAAATTAGACCAGTTTAGTGCAGTTCTGGATTTATTTCACTACGTCACAAATGCTAGACATTATATTGTCAGAGTTATTTCTATTCCTATACAGTTGATAGTAATTCTAACTCCAATCCAATTACAAAGCGGTCATAATATGGTGTTATTTCAATGCTCTTTTCACTTGTATTCAGTAATCTCTACCTGGTCTTATTGTGGTTGTTTATTACTGATATATAAGCTTGTAAAGAAGTTATTTCCACATATATTCAGGAACACTTATCCCCTAAATCTTACCCAATTCACTTCTCGGTCATAAAGTGTTATGATAACGAATATAACACATCACTAAAAACCTAGAGTTGTACCCAAACAACAGGAAGTGAACACAAAAATACCGTCTGAAGATGCAGCAAGTATTGAGAGTTTCATAACACTTTATCCAGTAACACCCATAATTAAATCGCGCCCACCCAGTGAAATCAAAAGTCAGGAGCGACGAGATTCGAAAATACATTTGATAGGTAATCAATATATCTAGAAGTGACTGATCTAATTTGGCTAGCTGTCACAGGAGAAGTTGAAAACGGCGTTCTCACTAGTGATTTTGTGCGGATGTGATCGGACTCCTTTAGCTAGGTGGATCCTAACGCGCTCTATTTAAAAGGACAGTGGTGTTGTTTCTCGTTGAGTTAATTAACTGTTTTGATCGTAAATTACGCATCAAAACTGCTGTTTATACTTTAATTGCATCTACATCAGTTAAAGTGATATTGTATTGAGTGTTTCGATTTTGCATTTGTGTATTTATAGCATCGAAGCATACTTGGTCGACTTTTACTTGATTATTTTGATGAGGTTTGAGAATCCTTTTACATATCCTGTTTGTATCACCGTTATAGTTGATTTTCAAGATGGCCAGATCTGCTCATAAATGTGGACAACCATATTGCTTATTTCCCGTGGAGGAGGGGATGCAATATGATGAATGTAATAAGTGGTTCCATAAGATGGGCACCCGATTAAGCCCCACTACATATAAAAGGTGCTCAAAACCCAACTCTCATTGGCTTTGCAGTTTTTGTTGCTCCAGCAAAACATCCAGGAAGCAGTTAGCCTCCTGATGTTGGCTAATAAGAAGGTTGATGAGGGCCGTACTGATAATATTGGTACTGATGGCGAAGATCGCGTTAGTGTCGTAAGTGCTGTCATGGCGCAAACCAGACATCTACCTGCGCGATCCGCAGTTAAACGTTCTCCCTCGAAACGATCAGTGAGTGACACCTCATTAGACGTTGGTGGCCATATTGCTACAGCTGCGACTGGTGATCCAGATAAGACAATTACTGTCCCGAGTTGTTCTAATGTAGATGTTTCGACTGATGGAAAATGGATGACGCGAAAACGCAGAAGAGTAGGGAAGACAGTTAAAACTAATGACTGTTTACTTGATAAGTCCTTGGTGGACTTTCAGACTGATCCGCCAGTCCGAAAGTAAAGTTTCGTCTAACATTGTTGTGAGTCACTCGCTCGACTCCCAGGACTCTGTTACAATAAAAACTAATCGTAAGATACCAGTAATTAAAATACAGGATCTAACGTCAAGGTCGAAAGCTGTGCATACATTTTTAAAAGAAGCTAAACCCGATAGCGACCTTTTATCTACCGTTATTCAGTGTGCACTTTTATAATGTATCACAAAACCGACACATATTGATTTCAATCATGATCCGTCACTGCTGGACCACGATCTCACCCACCACTGTGAGGATGTCCTTGATATTCAACACCTTCACCCACTAATGAACAGTGATCACGTAATTCAATTTAAGTTTAGGACACATGGTATATAATTCGTATCTGCTTCACCCCGTCCCAATATCTGGCGAGCCAATATTTCGACGATCAGAAACTGAGCGATCTCAACTGATTGATCGGTCGACGCGGATGGATTGATCAAAGATGAATGAAATAAGTTTAAGGCTACATTCGAGTCCGTAACGTCGCCGTTTATCCCATGATCGGCACGTAAGCTATCACATTGCCCTCCATGGATTAATAAGGAAACCCGGAAGCTGCTAAAGCGTAGGAAACATTTCTGGGACTTATTCTTGTTGACAGGTCATGCACCATTTGAGCGTGAGTACCAAAAATACCATAATATCTGTAAGAAAACCATAGCCAAATCTCGTACCACTTACGAACGACAGTTAGTATATGATAGCCATATTTGTTCGAAAAGTTTGTTTTCGTATGTTAAACGGCTAATGAAACGTAGTGATGGTATTCCCCCGTTACTGTTACACGACAATTAGGAATTACTAAAAGAATCAGATCGAGCAAAATCTGAGACTTTTTCAGATTATTTTAGCAAAGTCTTCTCTACATTTATCGTAAGAAATACTTGTCCCACTCACACCGAGATACCAGTCATTGAATCTGTAAAGGTGATTGTGGAAGCTGTCCTTCCGTTGATAACTAACCTCAAACCTGGTAAGATACCGGGCCATGACGGGTTACATTCACGGCTGCTGCCATCTCTTGCGAACATTAGTTCACAACCGCTCGCGACACTCTTCAACATGTCCCTTTCACTCGCTCAACTCCCTAGAGATTGGAAGGACGCTATAGTCAGTCCCATATTTAAGGACGGTCAGAGAATGGTAGTATCTAACTACCGACCTGTCAGTCTAACTAGCATTGTCGTTAAGTTACTTGAAAAGATGATTCGGGTTAGTTTGCTAAGCCACATAGATTTATTTACACAATTTGTTAGCTCCTGAGTAACACGGATTTCGTAACAAGCGTTCATGCTGGACTAACTTGCTTATTGCGAGAGAGGATTGGACAGCAGCCCTATATAACGGTTTGTCTGTCGATGTGATATTCATAGATTTTAGCAAAGCATTTGACAAGGTTTCACACCTAGGTTTTATGCAGAAGCTCACGAGCTTCGGAATAATAGGTACTGTACATGAGTGGATAGGAAATTTCTTATGTGACCGCAAACAGAGAGTGAGGGTCAATGGAACGCTATCCGATTGGAAGCCGGTCAAAAGTGATGCACCCCAAGGCACCATCTCAGGCCTTCTGCTCTTACTTCTAAACGTTAATGAGTGACCGTTGTTGCTTAAGTCGTCGACATTATTGTTTGCGGATGATGTAAAAATCTGGAGAACAATAAAAAGTGAGGCTGATCATCTGGATCTTCAAGCTAACTTAGACGATTTAGTTAGATGGGTTCGAGAGTGGGGCTTAGAAATCAATTGTAGGAAGAGTGTGCTAATGCACATCGGTTACGGTAATAGTGACCGTTATACTACTGAGGGTAAACCTCTTCCATGCATTCAAGAGCATAAAGACTTAGGAGTAGTAATAAGTCATGATTTAAAAACACCTACGCATTGCAAAGCAGCCGCTGTCAAAGGTTTTCGTCCGCTATGGTCACTTCGCCGAGCGTTCAAATTTTTTGACGAGGAAACGTTTCGAATTTTATATCCCACATATATAAGACCACATTTAGAGTACTGTATCCAAGCAGCTAGCCCGTGTCAGGTAAAGGATACTAACTCCCTTGAGCGTGTCCAGCGTGTGGGAATGAAATTAGTGAAGGGTTTTTCTAGACTCCCTTACGATGAGCGTTTAAAACGCCTAAACCTTTTCCCCTTGTCGTATCGTAGGACACGAGGTGACCTTATACTGGCATTTCGTATCTTTAATTATGAGTTGAGTGTTAATGTCTTATCTTTTTGCTCCCTCCAGCACTAATAATTTCCGAGGTCATAGCAAGAAAATTCATAAACCACGATCTAATAAACTTAAAGTGAGGTCCCGTTTTTCTCATCGAAAAGCCAATGATTGGAACGTCTTACCCGAGCAAGTGGTATCAGCCCCATCAGTGAATACTTCCAAAGAGAAGCTGGACCTTCACTGGAAAGCAATATGCTAGGATTAATACAAGTTCATCAACCTATTATACTTATTACTGAAGACTGAATGTGATCACCGTGAAATATCGAAGACTTGTAGAGCTATCGATTTTGCGGGTTTATTTACAAGTCTGTTTATACAGTCTCGACACCAAGATATTGGATATTGGAAGCTCGGAACACTTTTTCAAACAGTTACGGCACGGTAATGGTTCGAGATATCTCCGTATACTTCATTAGACATCAAGATATTTGAGCTAACAATCAAATAGCATGGATTTTTATATAAAAGTCGTAACATTCGATGCAAAGTAGAGACCCTTAGCAACCTATAAGTTACCATACATGTTGATTCAGCGATGTTACTAACCTTCTGAGTTATTTTTATGTCTAGTAGCTCAGTTAACAGTAAGTCCTTTCTTCATCGTGTCCTAGCACTAGCGCTTTTCTTAATTATGATGTCTACAGAGTGGTGAAGCGGCATCTGAACATACACACCTCCCTCTGACAACGTTTGGTCTCAACTAACCAAATGAATTGGACCTTGCATTTATTCCTTCAAGGGTTTCTAGGTACTGTTTCGTATTTTGTTACCCTTGTAGACCTGTCTAAAGCTCCATAGGTTTATGTCTTCTCACTTTTCAAGGACTACTTTTCAAATTTTCCTCCAAATTAACCTCTGTCCTGTGTTGAGAACTGAGGTTTGGATTCTTCTACTTCAAAACAATGTATATTTGCAGTAGTTTGACAAGTCTTCCGGGTGAAAGTATAGCTTTCAACTCAGTCAATTGCAGGTTTTTAAACTAACGGTTACGTGGTATGTGTGGCGCACAACGTTTCGTTTTCAGTTTGTAAAGGACAGGAGTCTTGATGGCCTGTGTGACTCCTGGCAATGATGGTCTCTCAGTTGGTCCAACCTTCTTTTGAAAGAGTCAATGAATGGATCCTTAACCACGTGCTGAGGTAACGAATTCCTCTCGTTGATGATTCGATGGGAAAGTCAATATTCAGCTGATAAGTAGTTTGTCCTAGGCTTATGAACTTTTTTGGAGTGTCCTTGTAAATTCTCTGTTTTGGAAGACAAGAAAAAAGAGGGCATATCAGGTGCAGACTTATCACTAAGCAATTTGAAAACTGTAATCAAATCACCTCTAGATTTTCGATATGACAACGGGAATAGGTTTAGCTTGTCCAGTCGAGCATCATATTGGAGTTTCGCTATTCCGGGAATCGGCTTAGTTGCTGTTCTGTGAACCTTTTCCAAAAGCTAACTGTCTTTTTATAGACATGGGCTGGCCGCTTGTATGTAGTACTCGAGTTTGGGATGCACGAATACTGTATGCAAAGTCAGAAAGGTTAGCGTCGACATGGTTAAAGGCCCTACGTATCAACGATAAGGCTCTAAAACCTTTGGCGGCTATTGCACGACAGTGTGCAGTAGTCTTTAAGTCTTGGCTGACAGTGATTCCTAAATCATTGTTTGTTTGGACAACAGATAGCTCAATGTTATTCATCCTGTATGTATCTGTACCATGATGACCGATATGCATCACAATACACTTGGAAGTATTTATCTGCAACTTCCAAGTTTGAGACCATTCAGATAGTTTCTCCAGGTCGTTTTGAAGTTCTAAGCTATCACCTTTGCTTTTTATCGCTCTCCATATACTGACATTGTCAGCATATAGCAAGACTGGTGATGATAGTAAACGAGGAAGGTCATTTACGTACAAGAGGAATGACATTGGCCCCAAACTGTACCCTGAGGCACTCCGCTGAGCACAGTCTCTCAGTTAGACAGCTTGGAGTTCACTGGTACTCTTTGTTGGAGCCCAACTGGGAGGTATTTTATTCACATCAATAGATTCTCTCCAACCACGACATTTCTTAACTTATATAAGAGCTGGCTGTGCGGAACCTTGTCAAAAGCTTTGCTGAAGTCAGTATAGACTACGTCTACAGGTAACTTCCGGTCCTTAAGGGCTCACCAGTTTTCACGAGCCACTAATAAGTTTGTGAGACAGGAATAACCTATTCTAAAACCATGCTGCTTCTCTAAAATGATCCGGTTTTCATAGCTTCTTATGAATAATCTTTTCTAAGATTTTAACAACCACACTAGTTAGGCTAACGGGTCAGTAATTCTCAGGTTTTCGTTTCGTACCTGTTTTGAAGACAGAACTTACCATGGCTTTCCTCCAGTCTTTTGGTAAACGACCGTTGGTTACGGGTAGATTAAAGCATATACCTAAAGGATTCACAACGAAGTTAGATAATTCCTTTAGTAGCCTGTGATGCGTCTCATCGGGTTCCGTGGATTTACCCATATCAAGCTTATTTAGCAGACCAAAGACATCGAGTCCCTAATGGTTACGCTATCCAGTGTTTGTGTGTGGGGATTTGTATGTACTGATGGGAGAAGTGTTTCTACGGTATATGCATTGCTAAGGTAGTTTGAGAATACTTGAGCCTTACCAAAGTCGTCTTCCACTAATGATGACGCAGTACTGTCTCTCCATAGTGAAGGAATATTTTCTCTTCTTTTTGTCCTTTGGTTTATATAGGAGTACAAGCGTTTAGGACATTCTATGGATTCCTTAACAATTTAACTTCGTACAACGTTACGGAGGGTTGAGGCACAGGTATCCCGAGCCTTTCGATACTGAGGTTTTGTCTCATCGGTCCCCAGTAACCTAAATCTCTCCCATATTTTTCTTTTACGGAGAAGGATGCGAACCTCCCTACTGAACCATGGTGGAGAGTTTCTCGGCCTCTTTGGCATAGCCCAAGGGATTTGGGGTGCGTTAACTTTAAAGTATAAATTCCGAAATACGTTTCAAGCCGTTTGGCTTGAGGACTCGGGCACCATTGTCCAATCTACTGACGATGCTGAGTGCATGATATCTTACCATAAAATGTTATTTAATTGTAATATGTATTGTGATTCCCTTGTTCTAGCCCTTGCTATAGAATGCTTTCATCATATTTTGTAGTGATGTATTAAAAATTTGACTTACTAGTACGTCCCTCTATAACTTTTGAAAAATACTCCCTTAACCCCTATCAAATGTGATTACTTCTGTGAGCTAATAGTGTACAGGACTGCATTTTTAAGAGGCGAAGATAATGTCAACGTACTACAGTGACTTAAGATTGAGTGTGATAGCTGTTTTAGTTCATGTAATCATTAACTATGTTTTAGCAATGTTTTGTTGGCACAAATTTTCACCAACCAGAAATTCTAGACTTCCTTACTGCGCTCTACATAATACTTGTAATCTCTTAATAAAGACCCTTAATAAGATGGATTGCGATCCGTCTCTGTTGCCTATCTAAATTTGGAGTGTAGTGAATTTCCATACATTTCATTCGTTCCTCTAGAACCATGTTTAGCATGTTTCTGTTCTTAATGTTATCCTTCTCCCTGCTTCTTTTGTTAGTCTCCTCCCCTTCTCTTTGTGGCAGTGTGCTGATTTCGGACCAGCACAAGTATGCCAGATCTTTGTTGATGTCTACCTGATAACACCTAGCTAAATCCGTAGGCTTATATTGCTAGTTATAGTGTTTTTTTTACATATATCTAAAACACGTATGGATTGGTTTGCCAAAAACTACTTAGTATTTCTGCTAACAGACGCAATATGTAATCACCGCCTACTGCTGTCGTAGTCTCTTGATAATGAAACATTATTGGACATTCTTGTTTTCGAGATTTGTTCATAGGATGGTTTTGTCACTGCATTTGGTGGTAATAATGTTTCTTTTTAAATTAATTTAAAAATAAGCTATCTTTATAAATAGATGTTTTGAGTAATCTGGGTAGGCGATGGGCTTTAACTCCTTACCATAGTTTTGGCAGCGATAGTATTCTTGCAATAAAATCGCTAAAATAGTTTCATGACACATCACATTGTACAGGGGTAGAACTATCGAGCGTTACTTTGAGCTTTTCGACAAAATGCACGTAGTTGAATGTAAACTTTGTCACCCTCCCACAGTGCCTTAACTGATCATTAAAAAGGTACACAAATCTAATTAGTTTGTTTTTGCTTAGTTTATTATTGATAGCCTTCAACTGTAACTGATAAAATCCCTTATAATTCTAGATTTGCCAGTGGTTTTCGAATTTACGGCACATAAAGTCATATAACAACTTCTAATCATACATCTTAGAAACGCACTACGTTGCCGTTGTAACGCTCGGTTTTCTCGTTCATATGAATGGGACGTTAATTCACCTTAGCCGAATATCTACACTAGATATCCTCTCAGTGTCTATTATACAAGACTTGAACACAACTCAGATCAAAAACACGTGACTCGTCCAACTAGAGCGTAAGTATATTCCCACACCAAAAACCGACAACAATCACAATAATAATAAGTGTGGGAAAATATATAACTCATCTAGTACCTGTAAGACTATCTACTAGTCTGACTAAGCATAAAACCACTCATTATCTTTCCCCCCCACACATCAATTACCTACCCTAGAGATTTTTAAGATTGTTCGTATGTAATTTTTCCAATTAATTTTTTACTATCACTTTGCGGCATAAACTCTAAATACAATATTTTCTCCTTTTGTGTTAGAAGTCGTACCATTTTTGCCTTATTATGTCAACTGGGCTTGCCCTTGGTTTCGCTGTTGAGGGTGCACCCTGGCACTTGGTTTCTCATTTATTCCCAGATAAAGTTGGTGGGCGACCAGCTTGGCTAGCTCTTCAACACTTACCATCTCCTAGTGAACTAAAGTGTCCAGTATGTTTGAATCCAATGTGTTTCCTCTTACAGGTATTTTCAGCATCCTAACTACTTATACTGCCTAGATATACTCCCCTCTATCTGAAAGACCCGACTGTTTTCATCGAATGTTATTTTTATTTATGTGCCGAAATAGTGAATGTCATTATAAGCCTGATCACGTACCATTCTATGTGTTTCGATCGCAGTTATCAAGACAAAATTGTTATTACAGGTAGTTATGTATTTTGTCGTAATTCATATATTATTCCGAAGCTTCGAGCCCCCTGAGAACGAATTTCCCAGTCGCGACATGTTAAACTCGATGATAAAGGCTAACTCTATTCCATGGGCTGGGAAATATTCATCTATCTGCCCAATATGTGGATGTAAAGCAGACAAAACTTGTTCAAAGTGTAAAAAAACTTCTTATTGTTCTAAAATGCACCAGGTACAGCGGTTTTACTTATCCGATTAAACATATTTTCTTTTATTGAATTAGGTTCTAGACTGGAAACGACACAAGTTAGAATGTGGTTCGAAATGTCACGATTTCATGTTCTTATTCGAACAAAATAGTTTCTTACTTCCTGAGTACCGTTTATGTTCTGAACCTGCAGACAACTTTTCTTCAAATGATGAAAGTACTTCAGAAGAGGTGGAAACTGACACTGAAACTGTAGACCTGGGACTTCCAAAGTAAATTAGTCGTAATGTGACTTTCTGTTATGTACAAACGTTGATGATAATTTAACCCACTACTTGTATTGTTTTATCAAAATGTGACAGTTTTACATGACAGTAACCTTTGTACTTGCTTGTTTGACAAATGCCCTGGTACGGCTGAGAGTGGGGAGAGTCCGCTCTCCCTCTCGAAATACTCTCACACGGCCACGCGTATATAGCCTTTGCCAGGGAAGTCCTACTCACTGCCTTCTCGTGGCGGGGGTGTTGTTTACGAAAATGAGAGGACGAAAAGCGAATGTCCGGCGCTTTAACCGGATTCCAAACCAATGGTGCACATGGGCTCCAGTACCCTGCGGGAACAAAAAGGCGAATGAACCAATTGTTGGTCACCGGCTTCCATGGGACTGCATCTCCTTACGATGCTCCACTGCCTTGTGGATCAGACCTTCAGGTCGAAGGCTCGGAGTGTGGCCTCTTAAGAAAACCACCTGCTTCGGTTTGGGCACCCGGGCAGTATCACAGCCCTCACACATATCGAATGAGATTTGTGTGGCGCATATGTATTTGGTGCCTCTTTGTACCATTATCTATGTGTTGAAATAATAATAAATAAATTAGGGCGAAAATCATGGACTTCGCCTCTTTTTCGTGCTGACTTTTCAACTGTGTCTCAAATCCTAAAGAAACTCATGCTATATTAGTTTCAAATAAGTTTTACTTAACCCCAGTTCAAAGTTATTATTAATATGCTACTCTGTATACAAGAGACGTATTACATTATAAACTATACCAATGCATTACACTCGTAGACGCTTAGTGTTAGTATCTACCTAATGACACTAAAGCGTTGTTCAGACCACTGACCACTGGTTTCACAGTGATTGCCCTGATTTTAAAATCACAGTCCTTAAAATTGTATAAAACATCCAACAAATTAAGATTAGAACGTGGTAGACTGGTCTCCGAAGGATTGCTGACATTCAGTGGCAACACCATGTCAGTAATGCAGAGGTTCGGCATCGTGTGTTTGGGCACAGAGATGATAATTCAATTGGTGTCACCATCTTGAAACACCGACTTCGGTGGCTTGGACATGTTCTACGAATGTCGTCCCAGAGAATTCCACGTCGTGCATTATTTGCCGACTCTGGGACTGGTTGGAAAAAGCGGAGAGGTGGTCAGTGCATGACATGGTGTCGTGGTATGAAAGAAAGCTGCAAATGACTGGCTTGTGTTGGTCCTTCACGACTCCCTGGTTGGGGTCTGAGAGATGGTGCAACACAGTGGCTAGAGACGTTATCAGATATGGCTCAGAATAGAAGCCAGTGGCGATCCTGCTGTAACCTTCTTTTACTTTCTTCATAATAGTGGTTGTGTCTCCCTTACTTGAAAGATTCCTTCTGATTGTACCTTTCTGTTCCATCGTTACGACCACACTACCTTTTGTGGTCCTTAGTTTTTTTATTCTATCTCCGAATTTTCATTGTTTTGTGTGGTGCATATATATTGGCGCTCTCTTGTGCCAATATTTATGTGTTCAAATAAATAAATAAATAAATTACATATTAGAGGAATTAGAATAGTAAATTGAATAGTATTAAGTTAGGTCGAGCATTATTAGTACGATTTATACTCCATTAATTAGTCCGTGATACTGATATAGTTTACGCTGTATATTCAAAACATATTGTGTTTAAGATGGTTTTATAGCAAAGTACTTTCTTGCATTTATTAATTGTTGTTAGAAAGGCAGCTAATGATGCAATGAAGAACTTCCTGCAAAAAATAATTGTGGGTTGTAAGAATGTGGGAAACAACAGGGCTAATGATATCAACATGTAAGGACAAAACAAGTTGTATAAAGATATGTCGAAAGGAACATTTTGATTTGTGTTTCACGATATTGTCCAGTTTTTCATGAAGTAATATTTACACAATAATCGTCATATGGTTTAAATTTATGTCATTTACCTACATATTTTTATGAATTTATTGGCGACTAGGGGAAGTGTGGAGAAACTTTATATACAGTGGTCAATAAACCAGCACTAAATCGCACTATAAAGTTGTGACTCAATCGTTTAGGTATCCGGTTTTCGAATATTGTCATGAGTTTGAGTACCGTCTCAGAGACTTTATCAGTCTCATACAATTTACCAAGCACTTCCTGTATATGTTGGGCTTATACATATCCAAATTAATGTATCAACTTAGCATTAATTCATTACAACTGTAACCTTAGCCTTTAATCTATACAATAAGCAGGTTTGTCTGTTTCATAGCATATCTATCTTCAATTTTATTACAGTAATGTTCTTTTCTGTGAACACTTTCAGCCATTTTCGAGTAAAGACAACAGCTTTATTTTCTTGCTACAAAAATGAAAGTGTGGTTTATCATTTCCACCAAGACGAAACACGCTAAATACTCAGGTGATATGTAATAACGTTTTCATCTTATACGTTATCCTTCTGTTTATGGTGTTAGTAAAAATCGTTTGTTTGTATAATGTTAAAATTTTTCAGTGATCCTGAAGTTAAAGCGCTTGAATCTATAGCAAAGAAAGAGACTAAAGAAGAAGCCAGATTTAGAATATTTAGAGAAGCAATGAAATCGGCTCCTGACCAAGTAATTACATATGTATATTCTGTGTTAATGTACCGTTAATTGACTCTACCTAGTACTAATTTGTGATTCATAAATCCTCAGGTTATTTTTCTTGATACTCTTTAAAATATCCAGTAAATTTCTAGATATTTTCTTTGTGGTTTAGTACAGTTTAGTTAACTCCAAAAAAATCAGTGTTAAAGTTATCCCTACATTACAAAAATCATTACATTACCGAAAGGCACTTGTGTAGATCTTAGTCATAAGACTTTACTTGAACACATAAATATTGGTACAAAGGAGCACCGAATATATATGCGCCACACGAGTCACTTGATTTGTGTGTGGGCTGGGATACTGCTCGGGTGCCGAAACCAAAGCAGGTAGTGTGGATCTTACGGTGTTTCGACTCAGCGAACAGATAATGGCAACCGTCTGCTGTAGCTATGCTCGTATAACCGTCGATATTTGGGGAACACCAATTTTGAACTTGAATAGAAAAATCATCTGATGTGGAGACCCCGATAATTGACTCATCGATTAACTCAGATAGATCACATTGCTATTAGCCATGATTGAAGGGGCTCGATAGAAGACTGTCGCTTACTGTGGATTACATTTCTAGACTCGGATCATGTTCTAGTTTGAGAACGTATTTATCTATGTCTTACTGGACATAGAGATGCTACCGTGAAAAACCCCTTGGATTTCAATTAATTATGAGGAAGTTAAGGATATTTTTCAGGGACAAACGGAGGAGATAGTTCACCGTAAAGGTGATATCTACCTCGAGGCAGCTTGGTATGATATCCAAAAAGCTTTAGAAACAACAGTAATATATACTACTATTTGAACCGAAAGGTTTAAAAAATCAGTGAATTTCAGAGACGTCGACAGAACTACTTGGAAACATATCCCATCTGGCTCCAAGTACGCTGAAGTGCAGAAGCAAGTTAAATGAACGCTGATAAAAACCTGCTTAATTATCTTGAGCATTGGTGGGTAGCGAAAGCAGAAGATATGGACAAGGTAGCGGCCATAGGTAACAGTAGGCAACTGTTTAGACTTATCAAGGAAACAGGTATTAAATATATGCTTGTTAGTGAAACTATCTTGGAAAGAGACTAGGCTATTGTTCTCTCGCGATTCAAGAGATTGAATCGAAGAGTAGAACAATTTAGGGAAAAGTTCGAGTGAACTTCAGTACACTTCACTTACCCATTATTTTCATGCATTGTAAATGACGAATGGACATACATCATTTAACTCTTGATGGTGCTGGAAAGGTTACAGGAAACCTGAAGCGAGGAAAAGCAACAGGGTCTGACGGACTAACCTCTGAAATTTTTGAGAGTGGTTGTCCAGTTTTAACAGTCAGATTAACTGAAGTTTTAGCTAAAAACTGAGAACTGGATGTAATCCCATCAGACTAGCTTTGATTACTGACCGTCCTAGTTTATAAGAAAGGACTAAAATCCTTTTGCGACAATCACAGAGGAATCAGTTTAACTAATTTAGTGTCTGAAATACTAGCCCCAATGATATTTCGACGTCTAACTCGAGCTCGTAATGAGCGAACCTCAGAAAAACTAGGATGGTTTCAGACCTATACGTAAATGTACAGATCAAATATTCTCGTTTCGGCATGTTCTGGGAAATAGACACACTTTTTAACGTCGGATGATAGATGTAGTTCTTGGCCTTAAGGTGGCTTTCGACTCTGTTAGTTCATGAAGTTCTGTGGGAGTGTCTGCCATCGAAAGGCATACCGAAGTACATAAACCTTGTACAGGCTCTCTATTCGGACACTGCTGGTCGAGTCAGAGCTTATGGCGAACTGTCATTAGGATTGGTTACTTCAAGTGGTGCTCGGTAGAGTTATCTGCTTCCTCCATTTTTATTTAACTTTGCCATAGACATGTTTTTAAAGATAGCACTTTTATCGTCTGACTTTTCAGGGTTTGATCTACTAGGAGATTCACTTGTTGACTTAGAATACTCAGATGACATAGTTCTGTTTGGTGAATACGTTGATAAAATGCAATCTTCTGTCCACCTTAAGCAACAATGTAAGCATATTTGGTTTGTGATTCTCCTCCTCCTCCTCCAAAAGTAGAATGTTGCTTCAGGACCGGCCTGCGTCTACTCTTGAATTAATGATGGGGAGTGCGTCAGTTGAACATATCAACCGCCTCACTCATTTTAGGAGTTTCATCAGTCTTGATGGTCTGGAGTCTAATGAAGTCTCTTTACGGATTCGAAAAGCTCGATCGGCTCTTTTGAACTTTCGTCATTTATGGCATAGGCGAGATATCCGTCTGCCAACTAATGTGCGAGTATACTACACGGCAGTTCGCTCCGTTCTACTTGGTGGTTATGAAACATAGCCTTTAAGAACAGGGACTATTCGTAGGTTACTGGTATTCAACCATATATGTCTTCGAAGCATTACTCATGTATTTTGAGGCCAGTGAGTATGCGATCCGTAGGTTATAAATGGGGTACTAGATAATAGTCGGAAGTTTATTGATGGGGTAGTAAATCATCATCTGGTGAGGTGATTAAGACATGTTACGTATTCCCATCCACTGTCTACCTCGAAGAGCGATATTGTCTGGTGTAGTGGCGGCTATATGAATGGTCTTTGTCTTGCTCATGATTCGGACATTTCGTACACGTACTAATTGTTGCTCTGGTTTTCACAATGGGCATCAGTCTTGTGGCTAGCGAAGACAGCTTTCACCGTGAAGCGTTATAATTCCTCTTCCTAGAAACCATCGAGAACTTCAAAGGGGCTGCATGTGGAGTTTGGTTTTAGACACAGTGTACTAGATAAAAGTCATAGATCAGTTTAAGTTGTCAATTTGCGAGTTTTCAGCTCCAGTCCAGTTCAGTCCTGTTTGATGAATGGTTTAAAAATATATTGATAAGATGTCTTGAACCCATAGACTACAACACAACATTCGTTCAGGAAGTCAGGTGGTCACTCTAATCCGTATACCGAGTTGCTGACTTTGCAGTTAACGTATTTTGGGTGGTCGTAATTAATGATTACAGATTTTGGTCAATCTCTGGAGTTTTTTGGTTTAATAATTTCTCATCTTTCCTCAAGTTGTAGGCATATTATTGTCCCACCATATTTATTCTTACTCATTTCTGTTCGTTGTTTTCTAACCTCACTTCAATCGGTATTAAAATTTTTTCATCTTTTTGAAGTGTGCTAAATCGTGACATTGTCAAGTCATGTGTTGTTTATAGCTATCTAACATATATATTCCTTATTTGTTCTTGTTCTTATTTAGGTCGTACGATTTCATAGAGGTGGTAAACCCATTTGGCTGAGTGACGATCCTGTAGAAGTTGAAAAATGTGAAGTTTGCGGTTCTGAACGTGTTTTCGAATTTCAGGTATGACTTTTGAAAACAGTTGAAGTTGATTTCGTTCCATGTTCTGCGTTTTCAAAGTATTGTAGTTGATTTCAAATTAACCATATAATTTTATGCATAAAAGTATGTAAATGAAAAATTTAAGTCATGTAACGTTGTCCACCGTATAATTGTATGGCAATCCATAACATTATTAGAATCATTTATTTGCACAGTAATATATTTGATCATTATATGCCAATAAAATTAATGCTTTAATCCCAAATGTTAATCAAGTTTCACTTACAAAGGATTTGTGCGATAAGCTTACTAAGACAGTTATTACGGTGTGATAGACTGTGTTGAGTGTGAACTACTAGTGTTAGACATTAAACCTCATTCTCACGATTACTGGTAAGTTGGTTTAAGGAGTTAGTCGTCAACACCAATAAATTCAAACTTTCAACTATTTTTGAACTGTACACCACCTTTAAGCTCCGTATCTTTAAAGTCCCTCTCATCATGTACCAGGAAACAAACAAATTTGCATAGGATTCAAGAATGCTACTCTGTAAATGGTTTGTGTACCCTAATAACTCATACTCACGATTCAAATGAGTCACTTCTATTACTCGTAAAGCATTTTTACAATTTAATTTTATTATTTATTTGGACACATAAATATTGGAACAAGAGTGCGACAAATATATATGCGCCACACAAAAAAAATGAGAATTTAAAGAGAAGGAAAAAGAAAAAAAGGTAAGGAGCGTTAAAAAAGAGAACAGTAACAAAGAGATTGGTGTAAGGTAGTGTAACAATAATAATAGTAATAATGGGGTAACGGAAAGGTACAATCAGAAGAAATCTTTCAGTTAAGGAAGATACAACCACTTTTTACGAGGAAAGTAAAAGAAGATTACAGCAGGATCGCCACTGGCTTCTATTCTGAGCCATATCTGATAACGTCTCTAGCCACTGTGTTGCACCATCTCTCGGACCCCAACCAGGGAGTCGTGAAGGACTAACACAAGCCAGTCCTTTGCAGCTTTCTTTCATACCACGACACCATGTCATGCACTGACCACCTCTCCGCTTTTTCCAACCAGTCCCAGAGTCGGCAAATAATGCACGACGTGGAATTCTCTGGGACAACAACGATGATCAAACTTAGAGTCATCTAATATCATCAACTCAGAGAGGCCAGGTTTCACAAGCATAGAGCAAAACTGCTCTCACCGACGCGTTGTAGATCCGACCTTTTACAGTCAGACTAACATCACGAAGGCGCCAAAGGTGGCCCAGATTGGCATAAGCCGCTCTGGCTTTCACTATATGTGCACTGATCTCATTACTCACACCCCCACCAGCACTTATGTAGCTATCCAGATACACGAACTTCTCGACTACTTCTATCTGTTCACCATCCAGAGTGAGTACAGGATTAGAATCCTGTCAGTCTTGTAGAAGTACTTTGTACTTCAAAGGTGCAAAGCACATACCATACCTACGGACACTGATTGCCAACTGATTAATTGCGGATTACATGCCTTGGACATTATCGCACAGTAAGACAATATCATCCGCATACTCAAGATCGAGAAGTCTTTCTCCAGGCAACAGATCCACACCACCATTACTTACATCCATCAGAGCTGTTTCCAGAATGTCGTCGATGGCAAAGTTGAAGAGGAATGGTGAGATTGGGCAACCCTGCCTAACCCCACTGCTCGAATGGAACAATGGAGAGAGGTGGTTGTATGCCCTCACTCTGCCTGAGGTGTTTGTATATAGGGCTTTTAGGATGTTAATAAACTTCTCAGGCACACCCTTCTTCAATAGACAATCCCAGAGAACAGTCCTATCCAACGAATCGAAGGCAGCCCTGATGTCAAGAAACACTACGATTGTTGGCCTTTGATAAGCACTGGGTTTCTTCAGGCTGCCCAAATATGTAAAGGTTTTTTCATCTTCCAAATCTTCGTCAATTGTGATTGGATTGGTGTATCCTGTGTTGTATCGGAGAATCCTGCTTTTCCTTTTGTGTATATTGAGACCTATTGCTGCTGATGCTGCTGCCACACTGTTCATCTTCTGCATTTGTTGTTGCGTTTGGGATAGAAGGGCCAGATTATATGCGAAGTCTAGATCGTCTAACTGCATCCTAGATGTCCATTGTATCGTGTGCTTCGATTCAGATGTTGACGTCTTCATGATATGTTGCAACCAACGCTCATCTATACTTTTCGGTGGAATGGTAGCTAGCCTAGAAGCTAGCTCGATTAGATACTTACAATAGAAGTTTCAACCAGCTTGCTAACATCAATCCTTTGGTGGCGGTCACTTTGTTGTCCACTGAAAAGTAAGGTAAGATTGGCGCAGACCAAGGCATGGTCACAGTCTAGATAGGTGCTCCAAAAGGAGCGGCAGTCTTTTACACAACCACGCCAGCGGCAGCTGATCGCGATGTGATCAATCGGAGTCCAGGCTTGAGATGCAGAGGGAGGACGCCAGGTGGCACATCGGCGATGACTGTGCTGAAAGTTAGTTCGAGCCAGAAACAAGTTGTGGCCTGTGCACAGTTGCAGCAGACGGTCCACGTTATCCGTCCTGCGACCAACAAGTCCCCATCGGCCACCTAAGTGACTCTCTTCTGTGCCTAGACGCCCGACCTGAGCATTCAAGTCTCCGGCTAGTACTACAATATCTGTCGAACGCACTTTCTGGAGAAGAACAGATAACTGGTGGTGAAACTCATCGTTGATTGCATCCTGGCTGCAATATATCGGAGCATAGGCGGAGATGACGAAAAGACATCGTTTCTCACGCCGATTTCTTCTCACTTTGATGGAACTCTCTAATCTAACAGCACATAACCGACTGTTAATGGGGATCCAAGCGATTAGTGCTGCCTCAGCTCTAGCGCTTAGTGCGACACCAATGCCAGCAAGACCTGACGAAGATGCCGCAGGGTCCTCGGATAAACGCACGTAAAACAAGCTTTTTGAAGTGACAGATGTAGAGCGAATTTGTAGTACTTCACCAGAGTCCTGAATACGGGTCTCGGATAGACAGCAAACATCGATATTAAGAATTTCTAAAGACATAGCCAGCCCTATCTGTTGTCCAACCTGCATAGGTGTGCGAACGTTGAAGGCAGCCAATTTGAATGGTGCACGTGGTTTCAGAAAATCTGCTTCAGTACTCATATTCGGTGGTAACATTCAATTTTCAACCGGATAGTGACTCGAGAACGTTTAGATAGAGTCGAATTTCCACCATAGATGAGCTGCTGTATAAATCGAGAAAAAAAGTATAGAGAGAGTAGGAATAAAAGAGGGTGAATAATGACGTAGTAAATAATAATAATAATAATTTTCGAGATGGTACAGAAGATTTGTAACTCAGGTAAATGATTTTGGTGGAGTTTTGTTCTCTGAGCTGGATGGTTTGGTTATGAAGCTTTCATCGTTCTTCTGAACGACATCATCAGCACAAACTTCAGATAGAAGTGAAGTGTTCGAATTTCTCTATATGTGTTTCACAGCTTGTTCTGTGCACCTCGATGTTGATTGGTTCTTGTTGACCTTAAATTTATCATTGTTTACTTCTTTGTTTTGGTTGTGTCTCCCATTGGTTTGATTTTTGTTCCTATATTTATGCATGACTTTCCTGATTGGTTGATAAACCGGATTGATTTCAATATGTTTGTTGATTGCTGATTGACCTGAGTGCCAGGCTTCTAAAAATTCTCTGGTGTTTTTGGAGTTTCCCCTGTCTAAGATTTCTACATTTTCCCAATCGAATGAGTGTCCGTAGTTATCCACGTGTATTGATATAAGTGAAGAGATATCATGGCGTTTGACTGCTAATTGATGTACATGTAAGTGTAGGTGGAGGGGGCGTCCGCTTTGTCCGATGTAGTGTTTGTCGCAGTTGGTACAATTTATTTTGTAGATGATGTTTGATTTGTTTTCCTTTGTTATTTCATCCTTTGGTTTGCATAGGATTGATTGTAGTGATTTTGTTGGTTTGCGTGCCACACCTATCCCGAAGGTTTTCAGCAGTCTCGTTGCGGTTTCTGTGATATTCCTTGTATGTACGGTAGGGTGATCCTTTTGTTGATTTTTGTGCTTGACTTGGGTTCTGATGCTGTGTGTCGTTGGTGCTTTTTGATTAAGTTGATTGGGTAGCCGTTCTTTTGAAATATGTCCTTCAGGTATTTCTCTTCTTTTTTCGTGCTGCCAGTGTGCTGCAGTGTGTCCTCGCCCTCTTGAACAATGTGTGTACGCAGTTGATTTTGTGAGCTCTTGGGTTGTTGCTGTTGTAGTTGAGAATTTGATCTGTATGGGTCAGTTTCCTATATGCTTGAGTTTCCAGTTTTCCTGCGTCAGTTCTAGTGATCAATATATCCAAGAATGCTAGTTAGTTGTTTGACTCCTGTTCCAGAACAAAAGGCCTTGAAAGAACTCAGAAATAAAAAAGATATTGTCATAATACCAGCGGACAAAGACGCACCACAGTAATCATGGGCAAAGAAGAATACGTCAACAAAGCCGAAGAACTACTCGAAGATAAGAGCACATACGAACTGATGGACACAAATCCCGTCAGAAAATTAGACAACCAAATCTCAAAGACTTTAATCAAGCTAGTCAAAGCAGGAGAAATAACAAAACAAGACCAATGGAGAATGAAATCCAGTGGACCAGTACTCCCTCGATTCTACGGCAGACCCAAAATACACAAACCAAGCATTCCAAGCAAACCAATCAACATCGAGGTGCACAGAACAAGCTGTGAAACACATATAGAGAAATTCGAACACTTCACTTCTATCTGAAGTTTGTGCTGATGATGTCGTTCAGAAGAACGATGAAAGCTTCATAACCAAACCATCCAGCTCAGAGAACAAAACTCCACCAAAATAATAAATTTCATTTTAATCTTTTGATTGTTTGTCGAAGTAAGGAAAGTAGTTTCCGTTATTATCGACAGGCCATCATTTGTGTGTGGGCTGTGATACTGCCCGAGTGCCGAGACCGAAGCAGGTATGACTATGTTTGTTTTCTGCACTTATACTTAGAGTGTTCTGCAAGTTCTCCTGGATGTTAATTGTATAAATCCTATCTGAGGTGTTACAAGCATGACTGATCATCGTATAACGAAAAGCGCTATATCATATGCAGATTTAGCCCATCTTTCACAAAGTTTTGACTTTAATGGGATTATAAATGTCTGTTTTGGAACACATGTTTGCTTTGTCCGCGCGACATGTAGTCTTCTCATAGTATGTATTCTGTCATTTCTGTCTTCATGGTATTACACACTTTTAATGACAATGCTTTGTAACAAGTATTCGGAGACGGCAGAAATTTTAATTGAACCTGTAGAAAGTAATTCCCTACAGATGCAATTCTAAACTAATCCCCAGACTGTTAAGCACAGAGTCCTAGCTTAGCTTAAGTCAGATCAAGTGAGTTATTTAGGTTGATAAACTCTGCCATTAGTATGCAAAAACAAATAACACAGTCTATCAAACAAGGGAAAAGAGCGACGTAAATAACATACCGAATAGTAATTAAAGCATAGGAAAAATAAGTCGACGAAACTAATTTATTTTATGACAAACGTGAAAGATTACGATTGATGAATAAATAAGGGATGGTCATACGAAATCAAAGAGAGTCAATGAAGTGGTGGGCGTTAAATACTTTCATTGGTGGGTTCAATAATCAATCACACCTTACAAAACCTGTAAATCTGTTTTTAATCACGGTGTTTAGCGGTTAATGATTTATGAACAATTAATCTTGACTTTTCATTTTGTTTGAAAAATTTAAATTGGTTACTTGTAGCATTGCATTTTAATAAAAGAGATTTTAATCTTTTTGAGCGTTGCAGCCTCTTCAATGTTGTTTGAGTCATCGAGCTCACAGTTGATTTTATATATATACTAATCCATCCCAACCAACCACTGGTAATCGTGGTAGTGTCATATTTCGTTTTTAATTGGATAACTAAAAACGCCATTAAATGCATCTATTTTGTACAACTGTTTTTCCAAACGTTTTAGTCACTCATTGACCCATTCCATTCAATTTTTCCCATTCGAAATATTATTAATCTGTTTTGTTTATCTTTTGCGTGGTTTTGTTTATTGCATAAAGTCTATATTTTGGGAATATTGTGGTTAAAAACATGGAAATGCTTTTATCTTGCTTTTGCAGGTTACTCCTCAAATATTATATCACTTAAAATTGGATAAAGTTGGTGAATTAAATCCAGATTTCGGTTCGCTTTACGTTTTTACTTGTTCAAATTCATGTGAACTTCCTAGAAGAAAAAAATGTACAAACAACACAAAAGTATCACCTAAATGTGATAATGCTTTTATTGAATATCAACGTGAAATTGTCATTCGTCAAATGGTTCCATAATTGATTAACAATTATTTTTATGTGAAGGGTTATATGGCTTGATTTTAAAATAAAAATTGATCCAAGTACAGATTTGATCAGTAGTTCTGTTGATTAAATATTGATATAAAACTGTGTAAATCAGTATCACTTTCTTTTTACCGTGTTAGACATTACTTTACTACTATCAGTTATTATAAAAGCATATAAAGTTCTCTTTCACTATTTTGTTAAATGTTGGAACGCATCTGTTTTCGTTATTATTTATTATTAATCTCTTGATTTAATCAATTAAAAAAGCATATAGAATGTTATTGCTACCACCAAACTGATCGACAACCGTATTAAATTTTAGAGTGCTGAAACGATAATCCCTGTCTGTTCATATTAACTTGTAGTGTCTACACCATTGATAGGTCTGTATCAATGGTGTAAGCAGATAATTATTATCGACAAATTGCATTTATGTTCTATTGATTTGCAATAATTCCTTATATATAATGTGGGTCTATGCAACTCTTAATTAATGCCACCTAGAAGACTTCTCACATTGTCATATCAAAACTTATCTAAATAACATAAAATATCGAAGTCCAAATATATATTTCCGTAATTTATAAATTTTCCAAGTTACCAAAACAGAAAGCTTGGAAAAAATTAACTCTAGAAGTAATGAAAACTAGATATTTAAACGAAGATACCGGTATCATCTTAAAGTTTACAACATGCTTTAGCAGGGTGATTAGCCATATTCCTTTATAAACACAACCACGTTGGGTGACTAAAGTCAATTAGCATTCAGTTTGGCCACTTAGGTTCCGTTTGGGATAGTTGAAACAATAAGAATTGTCAATCTATCGAAGTACTGAGATATGGGTGATTGTAAATTTCCAGTAATTAATATGACGAAACTCAATAAATCAATGAGTAAATCATTTTCTTGTATATAATATAGAATAAATGTGATCAGAAGATAATTTGTATGCAAGACATCGTTGGAACTAATTAGTTTTCTGTATAGACCCTGACTGTTGTTGGGTACTATATTAACAGTTACTCTTTATCATCGAAATTATTAGTCTTTAACTACGATTAGTCGTTGGAGACTAGGTGACATGTCTCAGAGTTGTCCACAATGACACAGGTGCATTCACTTTTGATTTTCAAATCCAATATTTCTTCATTCCTAAACCAACCTCACTGTGATTTATTGAATATGGCAGAATGACATAAAACAATATAGAAATGGTAAGAATACCATATGTCTGGTTCGCTCCATTCTCCCCCATCATAATTTTAAATTGGTAATTCGAAATACATTTCAATGCCATAGGCCTGCATAGTGGATTTTTTCGCAGTCCTCACACCAGTATCATTTTTTCTAACTTTCTGAAGTAATGCACTACATTCGTTCTGTAAACCGTTCGGAGCGGTAAGTTATATTTCTGATAGTGAAATATCAAATTGTAGTATTCTGCTCTCACTCGCGAAATTTCTACTAATGTACATAAAATAGGGAGATCATTATATTATCAGGTTTATGAATATCTGAATGGCATCTCGCAGGGAAGTTCCTAAAATGGGCTGTTCGTATACTATTATGGAAATATTATATTCACTTGCTAGATTATTAAAATAAATCCATGTTTTGTTAATAAAAAGGATTTGTTAGTTCTGGTAGATTTCGATACATACATATTTATGATTACACCATGAGAAAGTCTTTAGATCCCATTTCATTGTTCTTCAATTATTATCAGCAACATTATTGAAATATAGAACTACAAAAAGATTATTCCGTGCGGTGGATTGGTGGTTAGGCGATTTGATCTTAAAGCAGTAAGTTGCAAGTTCGGTCCCTATTCCGAATAATTTTACTCAGGTGGTCGGATAAATGATGGTCTTGAATTTAGGGAATAGAATATATCCAGTTATTACATCGTCTTTTTTTGTCTTACGATTGGTGAAAATATTCTAAAGCTTAAATTAACTACTTGTAAGTAGTAGAAATGTCTTTAAAAAATAACTCGGTCGCCTTAACACTTCAGATTGAACGATAGCTGAATTCTTGATTAGATTTGAAGGAGATAACTAACTGGTATCTATGTCAAGGCTTTGTTTCATTTACCTGATGAAAATTCAATAGATAAGTTGATATCATAAAGTATATTACTGAATTTTGCCAATAATTATTTTCAAAAAATTAAAACGTCTTTATAAATTTACATTTTGTCCAGTCGGTTGTAAAATCTTGCGGTTAATTTTGTTATGTTCTGTGAGTAAATCGCCAATGAGGACATTAATTTATACGACCTGGGCATTGTGCCAAACCAGTCGCACGTTAACCAGAACGAGCAGCGTAGAGTTAACTCCGAGTCAGTATTGATTCTTCTCTTCTAGCTTTGTCCGTTTGAGTCCAGAACGCAATCTCATATTTCACTGTTTGAATAGTTCGTTTTAGATATACATAGCCTATATACAAGTAAATCATACCATAAAATAGGAACTAACAATTATAACAAGGCCAGAGGTGATTGTCAGTATGAGATACTGTAACTAATAAATTGGGAATAACTTAAGAATGACAAATCGTATAAGAGTAGGTAATAGGTAGAATGAAAGGTTCATGAATATACATATAATCTAGTTACTCAATAGTTATCCAACTAGAATATATGCAATAATAGTCCATAAATAATTCCGAGAAGTTACCATTCATATATTCTTCGTTAGGATATCACAAATTTTATGTGAATTGAGTCAATCGAGTACTGCAGAATAAGTTTGGAATCAATGTGTGCAAACCGACCATTCTTCAGTAATCATCCTTACTTTAGTTGCGTTGTACACTTAGTCAAATTCTTTTGACTAAGTTTGCAATTTGGCAACTGAACTAAATGGCTGGACAGATCGGTGTGTCTTGTCTAAAGGTTTGGAGGGATTATTGAGTAACAGTGGACCTGTGTTTCGTGTTGGTTGACATGCATCGGCAAGTTGTATTTACACGAAGAGGTGAACTGCATGTTACGCACTGTCTGATTTATGCAATCGTTAGAGTGACAGCAAGTCAGTGACGACCTGACCTGCCTAGTAGTAATGTTTCGGGTTAATGTATGTCCTCACATCTGAAGACTCGTTATTATCCCAGATGTCAACCAAAATTAGATTTGTTTTCACGGTGGTTTTGCAACAATCTCTAATGATTGAAAATAAAAATCAGTGATATGTATTACAGTTGAGTCTTTTAATTTTCAACCTGTGGATACTTTCAAAATGAGTTCCAGGTTTAGTAACTACATTAGTAATCGGTGGGATACATGCATCGTAATCTCAAAACTTAGTTCTAGGATCAAACGTGATTTTTTCAATGTCATTAGTTGATATCGTGTAAATACATTATCTACGCAGGAAGTAGTAATACTTAATGTTATTAGTTGGATGCTGACAGTCGACACATTTGAACTCCACTTGTCGAGTGTTGAACAGTTTTCAACCGAAGGCAAGAAAAGACGGTTGTGCAGTATCGTGAGTTGATTGAAGTTAGACAATAATATCATTGGATATTGATTCCGTGGTCTAAAGGTTAAGTTTTTACTTGAGAGACCGAAGGTCCTGGATTCTATACCATATTGTTGGGGAGTGAATGGGTATTATTGAGGAGGCTCATGTTAGATCTAGACAGTTATTCAGTGCCCCCTGGTTTTCAATCGCGGTCTAGCTAATATCACTTCGTGATTTAAATTTTATCTTAAATAATATCAGGTATCATGTATTTTATTTCATATTTTGACGGTCACGTTTAATTATCTGAGTAAAATGAAAAATTATCAAACTTTTTTTCGACGACATTTTAAATAGTTGCTTGTTTATAATTTTCTGGCAACATTTAATATAGAAATAATAAATTAGATTAAATTGTTGACCCAAGGTCATCACAGATTGAGTTACATATATTTCAATATTAAAATGATGAAAAACTACATATTTATTCTTGTATATAATGTAAGTTATTCTACGTGTTATTGTACACTGACATCCCTTCATTTTTGCCTCTATTCGAAAAAATACCCCACCCCAAGTTTCATTTAGTTAAAGTTATTCAAGGTCATTCTGATGATGATGAAGTTTGAAATCCAATTCTAATTTGTCAAATTTACTGTTTTATCTATACAATACGAGTATTTCAAATAATTACAAAAAGGTAATCTTAATATTATAAATGAACAGATGTTATGTCAATTAATTTAATTTTAACCCATTTTATTTATTATAAACAAAATGATAAAATTTTATGTCATGGAATTAAGATTTTTGGTGAATAAAACAATTTTCAATTGTGTTTAGCAGAATGTAGATTTACTAATTAATTATGATGTGGACTAAAGAGATGGAAAATAGTTTTTTGTATTTTTTTGACTGCTAACATAAATTCATACTTAGTACCAAAAAAAATTGTGGATAAATAATATTTGAGTAAGACAAATAGGTGAAAATGAATGGTCTACTTTCATAATAAGTGAATAAATATATAAAATCAAACATTTTATTTTAACTAATGTACTACTGTTCTTTTCAGTGCTGATTGATGGATAAGTACTTGGATATTATATAATTAATATCAGATGGGTTTTTGTGGAAATTGTAGTAATTTCAATGGTTAAGATCATAAGTCCAGTGCTTCCAGGTTTTCCATGGTGGTCTAGCTTCAACTGACTCATGATCTTAACCATTGATATTATATAATTGTTAAGAAGTGCCTTTAATTATACTTGAAAGCTACATAAAAACCCATGTTTAGTTCGAATAAGTTCAACCAGTTAGAGCCATATGTTAATAATACCTGTGGCTGACGTATTTGTTTTCCTTTTATAACTGACTGACCAAGTATTCAAATCACTACTGATCTCAGTATATTTTCTGGACACATTTTAGCATCATGTTAGAGAGTGATAGTGGTCTGTGTTCACACAATCGTTCAGTGTTCAACTTTAATAGTTATCGTTGACATGACTTATATTTAG